TCGCCTTTTACGACACCCACGGGAAGATATGGGGTAGTGGATATTCTTAACCGCCGCTACACGGCACTTGTTCACTATCGGTTGGTCACTATATTCTTCAGATGATTTCTTCAGTTGACTATTTCTTCAAGTTGTTCGGTAGTAAGTATTATCCACTACTATGTTCTAATATCTACTATTATCTACTATTATGTTCTGTGTGGTACTACTTGGTTCTGCTACTAGTTGTACTATAATGTTGCCGGGCCCTGAGGCGCTAAGGTAGACCGGAACTTTATTTTAAAGTGAGCCGCTTGCCATTGCATGTTTTGCCTCTTTATTTTTTACTATTTTGGCTATACAATTGTAATAATTTACAATTTTTCTATATACGATTAATTTTTACGCTAATGTTTGGATTGGTAATTTAGTTGTCTATTAGAACATTATAAAGGTTGCTCTGTGTATTAATAATGTAAAAAGTTATTAACAGAAATATTCCAAATTTTCACAATATTCGCAATATTATTCTTTAATTTTACTACAGGTGGGAAATAAATTACATCACACTAAATATTCCATCATTTATTTAATCTATAAACCTAATTCTAATTAAATACTACGTTTACATTTTTTTTAGAGCATAAAAATTATTTTCATTATTTTCGGGTCTTAATATTATGCAATGCCCGATTGTAAAGCCGGTTTTGAAGTATTCCAGGTGTCAGCAGCCTCGCATGTCCTCCCAGTGGGAGTAATGGACTTGTCGTCGGTGCTGTCTACGGAGATTTGCGTTGATGGCTCCTCGTATTGTGTTCACAGCCTTTTGAGAATTCATTTTCGGTTTCTTTCGAGTTCCTTCATCGAAAGTTCTAGCTATGAGTTTTCGACAGAGTGTTATAAATGTAGTACTCTGGCTGTAGCTCGCAACAAGCATTGCCATATTGAGAAACTAAATGTATCGGGTTCGGCTTTTTAACGTTGCGGAGCACGATGCGATTCTATGGATGTCAGAATTCTTCCTTCGCTAGGTTTGAAAGACGTAAATGTTGACTTCTTTCCGGTAGAAATGAGCCTCTTCGATGTTGTTTTGTTGTTGTCAGGCATCTAGATATCAATTTTATTGGAGAGGAGTGCCTTCTTTATGTGCCCGTATTCTAACTGTGGGGCGCTGCTGTTAGGTATGTCTTCAGCCTTCCTCTCTGAATTGGACTGTGGTTTTCTCGGGTTGATGATGACAGATTCTAAAGGTAAGTATTCTTTTGGATACTCTTTTATCTTCTCCTCACTCGTAGACAGCTCTTTGATTGTATGTATGCGCTGATTCAGGGCTTAGGTGTAGCACCCATCCTAGTTCAGTCAGCGAGATGATTGGCTGGTACGGCGGACCTCTGTAAAATTGAGTGGCTAGCGGAAGTCTCCAATTGTCCTGCCCTATCAGGATCCGATCTAGAAGATCGGGTTGCCACAGTCATATGTCAGCTGCTCCTTTAGGTATTCTAGGTGATTGCACTTCGCTATGTTTGCTGCACACAGTCTGCGGCCCCAAGTTCAGGCTTGTGACCTTGCGTACTCTTAACGGCACCGCTCCGCTGTGGAGACTCTTCAGCGTAACTTTGATTCTTCAGGACCCCTGTGAATTGAGAGTAGTGTTCCCGATAGCGGTGATCCTGAAGGGGTCCAACCACCCTGTAGCTCCAATCTGTTCAGCGATCTCTTCATCCATTAATGAGACTGTTGACCTATTGTTTAGCAGGGCATGTGTGTTTACTTCTCCCGCTGGTGCAATTACTCATACTGGAATTATTTTAGGTAGACTAGATGCTTCGTATATCGCTATAGCGAAAGAGTTGGCCACGGTTTTATGTGGTTCGTTTTCTATAACTTTTGTCTTCTCCTTTCTGTCATAGTGGAGAAGTCGGTTGTGTGTCACGGTGCATCCTTCTATTCCACACTTGATGGTCTTGCATTTGTGTTTTTGGTTTCTGGAGTGTAGGCAGCGGAAACATAAATTATTTTTCTTTGCGAGATCCCATCTTTTGTTGACATCTTCTTCTTTAAACTTGTTGCAGTCGGATCCGTGTGACCTTATTTTTCGCACACTCTGCATCTTGGAGATAGTTTGGTAGTAGCTGCGTCTGTTCTATGTACTGGAAGGTGGTTGCTCTACGCTTCGTTGATAATTTCTGGAGGTGCAAATGCACAGCAGAAGCGAGCTAGTTCGGTGATAAAATTGCTGAAGCAGCCGAGGTCTGGTCTGAAATTGTATTTATCGGTGTAGATTCTGTACCACTAGGAAGAGAGTTTGGCAGATTTCCGGTGAGGTGTCGTAGTAGCTCTGCGTTAATGAGGTAATGATCTCTCTTCAGTGCTCGAAGTATGACGACTCCTCCCCTGACCTTGCTTGCGAATGGGCAGATGTCTCTAGGAGCTTCTGTACAGCATGCTAATCCTCGTATTTTCTCGGTCTTTGCTTGTGTAATTAAATTCAGATTTCCAAATTGCATCTCCAGCTCTCGCATAACCTCATCTGGCTTAGCATGGCCTTGAATTCTGAGCTTACATTTTCCAAGGCTCTTCCTCGTAGATTTCTTCTTAGTCTCGCTGTGTTTTCAATATCATTGAAGTAGTCTCGGGTTGTCTCGTAGATGGCATGGAATGAAAGCCACACAGTGTGTACTTCACTGAAGCTTGGGAGAGTCATCATAGCTTTCGACGCTGCGAAGGTATGCCACGATAGTGATACACTCTCTGGTTTCGGTTTGTCGGCGAGTGCGGAGATTACGGATGTGAACTCTGCGATAAATGGTCGGAGCCCCCTGTCTGCATTGGTGGTGGGTTCCGGGTTGAGCTTCTGTGGCATGGGATCAGGATGAGTACATCTGCTGGTTTGGGATCCTGAGGTGTGAGCCTCTGTTGTGGCTCACTAAGATCGACGAACTCCGGGTTGGCTTTGGTACTGTTTCGATAGGTAGGGCCTCCATTCCGGTGGTTGCCTCTTGAGTTTGCTGCTGTTTGGCTGCAGAATTTTCCAGCCAGAATCACAAAATTTTGTAGGCGTTAGAAAAAATATTTTTTTCAGCGGTTACAACTGTTTAGAAAAAAAATTGTAAAATATAACATTATCTGAGTACAAATTATCATCTAAATATATTTATTCACTTATACAAAAATGTTATATATTATGGATAAAATTTTGACTAAATCACCAATCATATTACGCGGGCAAGACAAGTTTATTACTGTGTGCGTGAAAACACGGGAAAATCAATTCTTCCCAGAAGTAAGACCCAGGTAGATCAATTTTTTGCTCCGTCTACCCTTTTTTTTTTTTTGCGGATGGAAAATCATCAAATGACGCCTTTCGCTCTGGGTGGAGCGGAAGGGAGTGTCAGACTTTTACTGACTAAAAACCATCCGTGTTCCTTCAGTGCCCTTACGTTCCGGAGCCGCGGTATCTCTTTCGAACAGCCCGCAGCCCCGGCAGGCGTCGGCCCTTGCGGGCCCCTTCACGCTGCTGACAGCTCTTTGAGGCGCGCGTGGAACAAAACGCGCCGTCGACACGGCCTGTCGTCGTTAGACGGACGGACGGCGAGCTACCCATTGCTCGCCGTCCACAGGCCCGCGCCTACGGTGGCCGGGGGCCACGACGTAGCCCCCGACGCCCGGGGCGTCTCCCGCGGCGGCCGGGAAGGAAAGCTGCTGCTCTCTCCTTCTCCCGCTCCGCCACCTCCTTCGCTAGCATCACTGCTTCGCAGAAGGTGGTGACGGCATCCAATTCCGTCTCGCTCCGGACCATGGCTTCGACCAGGGCCGGACGCGAGAGGTCGCCGCCGCCTATCGCCGCTACGAGGACACGGCGGTGCTCCGCCCAGGCAGGGCACACCTCCACGGTGTGCTCCACCGTGTCCTCCGGTCGATCCTCGCAGTGGGAGCACCCGGGCGTTTCCTCCCGCCCGATTCGGTGCAGGAACCTCCCGAACACACCGTGTCCGGTGAGGACCTGCGTCAGGCGGAAGGTGAGGACGCCGTGGCGTCTCTCAAGCCACTCCTCAAAGAGGGGTCTTATCGCTGCTATAGTGGCGTGCCCAGCACGGGGTTGCGACAGTCGCTCTCTCCATGTCGCCATGAGATCATGCCGGAAGTCTGTCCGCTGCACGACAACTTGCCGCGGCAGCGGGGTTTCCCCCCGGCATAGTGCCTCCGCGCGCCATTCGTGCAGGCGCGCGAGGACTATCGCTTCCAGATCCCATGGCGGCAATCCAGCAAGGAGGCACGCTGCCTCGCGGGAGATCGTGCGGTAGCCGCGAACCATTCTTACGGCAACCACCTTTTGGGGCGCGTTCAGGTGGTGGACGGCAAGCCGCGCCAAACCACGCGCCCACACCGGGGCCCCGTAAAGGGCCATGGACCGCACAATCCCCGCGTAGAGCCTCCGGCAGGAGGCGTTTGGCCCCCCCAGGTTCGGCAGGAGCCGCCTGAAGGCAGCCCCGGTCCGTTCCAGTTTGGGAGCCAAACGTCGGAAGTGCTCAATGAAGTTCCATCGGCCGTCGAGGACGAGTCCTAGGTACTTCAACGTCGACTCGACGCCGATGGATACCCCTCCTACCATCGCTGAGGATCCCGGTGGTGGCCTGTTCCGAGGACCATGGAAGTGCATGGCCTCGGACTTGTGCAGAGCCACCTCAAGACCCAGCTGCCGGATCCTCTCAACGACTATCGCAACCCCGCGTGTCATATTTTCCGCCGCCGCCTCGTACGACCCCCCCTGTGCCAGTACCAGCGTGTCGTCAGCGTAGCAAACTACGCTGACGCCGGTAGGGAGGTCGGCGCGCAGTACCCAGTCGTAACCGATGTTCCACAGGGGCGGCCCCAGAACCGAACCTTGTGGGACACCGCACGACATCTCTCGCCGGTTCCACTCACCGTTGCGACCGGGGTAAATGACGGCCCTATCCGTCAGATAGTCCCCGACTATACGACGGAGGTAGGTCGGCACCCGGTGATACCGGAGTGCCTCCCTAATGCAGCTCCAGGGCATGGAGTTGAAGGCGTTGGCGATGTCGAGAGACACCGCCAAAACAAACCCCCCTGGCCACTGCATCCCCCGTCGTGAGGGCTCTCACGCGCATGATGGTGTCCACCGTAGAGCGCCTCTTGCGGAAACCAAACTGGTGTTCCGCAAGATCCGGCCCCGTCCCCGCAAGGTGCTCGGCGAGGCGGTTTGCAATGACTCTTTCAAAGAGCTTGCCCACCTCGTCGAGCAGCACCACGGGCCGGTATGCGGACGGAGAGTCCGCAGGGCGCCCCGGCTTCTGAATGAGGACCAGCTTCCCCGTCTTCCAACGAAGCGGGAATTGGCCTCTCTCCAAGCATGCGCTTAGGAGCCCCTCCAGTCGGGGCCCGAGAGCCTCCGAGGCCAGGACCCAGGCTTTGCCAGGCAAGCCATCGGGTCCTGGGGCGGTATTCCTGGCCTTAAGCCTACGTACCGCCACTCTCAGGTCTACCCCGGTCCCTTCCGGGATGCCGTCGTCGTCGTCCTGGTGGTCCGCTTCCGGCACCGCAGGTGGCGGAGCCATAAGCGGGGGCGGGTGTTCCCCTCGCGCAGGAAACAGAGCGCTCACCACGTCCTCCACGAGCTGAGGCCGAAGACTCTGCGTCAGCGGGGGAGCCCAGGTGCGGAGTTTATCCCGCACCATCTTGTAAGGGCGCCCCCACGGATCTCTGTCGAGAGCCTCCAGCATCTCCTCACGGGCCCGATCCCGGGCCCGCATGACAGCCTCCCGGAGGGCGGTCTTCGCCGCTCTGTATCCTTCGTACAGCTCCGCCTCAATGGCTGCCGCATTCGGTGGACGAATGCGGAGCCTGCGATGCCTGGCGTACAGGTGCCGCGCGGCGACACACGCCTCGCGTAGAGACGTCAGCTCACGCGACCACCAATACACATGGCGCCGGGCGCTTCCTGGCCGGACGCGGGGCATTGCCATGTCACATATCTCGGACATGGCCTCCTGGAACCACCCTGCCTCATCATTGACGTCGGCAGGCCTATCCGGTGATGACACCCAGGTCTGCACGATCGAGGCTTCCAGGAGGAGCTCCCGGTCCAGCTGCTTCAGCGCCCAACGCGGACCACTCGGGGCCTGTTGGACTGGCGCGCTCGAGGGCTGGGTGGAGACGTCAAACCGGATGTACCGGTGGTCGGAGTAGGTCTCCACCCCCTCCATGACTCGCCAGTCAATGGCACGCGGCGACAGAGCGGGGCTAGCGAACGAAATGTCCACCACCGACTCGCCCCGCATCCGCACACACGTGGGGACAGAACCCCGATTTAGGACGACCAGGCCTGTCTCCAGAGCCCAGTCTTCCACCATCCTACTCCGCACATCTGTACGACGAGAACCCCAAGCCAAGTTCTTGGCATTGAAGTCCCCGAGGACAAGCACGGGGAGGGGATAGCTTCCGACGACGACTGCTCTCAGCTCTGCAAGAGAGTTGTGGAGCTCGGCGAGAGATCGGTTCGGGGAGAAGTACACCCCCACAACGACGAACTCCCCGAACCGTGCTGCTACGCACCCCTGACCTCCGTCTACCCTTGTGTTGTAAATTTCATCAAAATCTTTAAAGTCGTTTTTGAGAACGCGATTACAAACAATTGTAAAAATTTTGCTCGCATAATAGAATAGATAGAGTATTGTTCCTGACGTCACTGCCTATGATACTCCCCGGCTCGTGTCGTCGGGCAGCGGATCTCAAACCGGTTCTGCGAGCGCTTCACGGCCCCACCACCTTCATGGAGACAACGCGGCACCGCTGCAACTTCTTCTTGCTCGGAACAACCCGGTCGCGAACGCACGCATTACGGCTAGTTCTCTTATAGCAACCAATAAATTACCTACACAGTCTACATATTGAAGTTCTTATTTATTCAAGAATTCGAACAGCACAAGTAGAGCTTGATACCCAACAAGTATCAATATCTATGTATTTACTCGTATGTATCAAACACTAATTAAATATGGCCCGTACTAATTTTAATATACGATCAAATATTGATTAACTCCTGCCTTTATCCCATAAAAGGTACTGACATAAACGTAACTATATTTCAGAGAATAGTTCAAAGATGAGTCGTAGCCACTCAGAGGCTTGGCACTCGCCATGAATTTTGTAGTACGCGAGCAACCCGTGTTCGATTCCCAACGGCACCAATGAGATTGTTATTGTATCAACTTACTTACCAACTTCACTTCGGTAAAGAAACATCGTGAGAAAACTTGAATATCCGAGAAATTAAAAATGTTTCAACGAAATATCAAGTTTGCGCTTCGCACTAGAATCGCGTGAAATAATTTATATTCCAAACTTACAGAAAAGAACGTGCGTTGGTTATAATTTTACTTACTATCTTAAGGAAGAAACATAAAAATATTTTTTAAAACCTTTTCAAATATAGCTACCCATTTTAAGTAATATTCGGCCTTACATGTAATAGTTATCGCTTACTTAAATTAAGTAATAATTATCTCCATATCTGTCACGTTCTATTGTCATTTAGTAAGAAGAGAGTAGCAGCATTTCTTAATTGATGTCAATTTGCTAGGCCGACTGTTATTAAAAATAACTGTGCTGAAATTCGTTAATTTCATTTTCCTGCCAAAAGCCCAATGCCTCACTTTATATTGATTGTTGAGTAATAAAATTATTGAGCCGACAATATATGAAATTATCAATATCGTTTATTTCCTTATCCTTATAAAGCAATAGAACCCAGATATCAATCTTTGACAGTGCATTTTGGTTACGGATAAAAATGTTTTGTTAACTTCAGAACTATGACCAAAGGCGAAGTGATAGTGATTAATGATGTTTATCCCCTCGGCAAATGTTTCCAACACTTCCCTATGTCCGATCATTAATCTGTCATGACAATATATCTGTTGCTACAGATTTATTTCATATCGTCTTCAATGTTAGTTCTCTCATACCAACGATTGGTCTTAACAAATAAATTTATCATAAACTAGCTGTTCCCTGCGTCTTCGGTTTTTCCCTAAGTGCCAAAGTCTTTGCCCCGATGTGATTAGAACTATATACATGGAAATAATACGAATATTCACGTTATCGCGTTAAAAGCGGTTTAGGTATTAAAACAAACGCTCGTAATTCAAATTTAAAAATTTTGGATTATGTAACTATATCAAATTATGCAATACGTACTCATTTCAAAGCGCATACAAATCTTAGTAAACTTACATTATTGATAAATAAAACACCTATTAATAAAAAAAAGGCACAAAAGATAACATACAACGTTAAAAATTAAAATGCACTTAGGTAGTGTTTGCGAACAACTTTGGCGGTGGGTTTATATTTGAGTTGCCGTCTGTGTTACCCATTTTAATGTCGCAAAGGTGCCAATAGTGCCCATTGCGGCCAACACATTAGCAAAATCCATGTGGCTTTAATTTACAGATTACGTTATTTTGTATACATAATACGACTGAAGCACTGGTTTGCATTTCCAACGTCCGCATGTTTCATTGGTTCTGATTATTCATAGTAATCCTTTTAAAAGGACTAAGGAATATTAAAAGTTTTAATGTCTTCTAAACAGTTACATTAAAAACTTTACGACTTCGTTTTACACATGGAGGAGTAAATTTTGACCCATGAAATTAAGAGAAATAATTATTAAAATAAGTTTACAATTGCACAATTGTACAATTACAATATACATATCCCGTTATGTTAAAGTTAAGAAAAAAATCATAAAGTCGAATGAACAAAGTATTTCTTTTTTTTTAAATCTAGCCAACGAAAAGGTAGACGATAATAATATAATGAGATGCGAGAATAACATCAATGAACTAAGTAACTGAATCTGCTTTAAATCTGGAGTGTCTTTTTCTCCATCTTAAATCTTGTTTGTTATTTAATTAAATATTCAGTTCTCCGCAGATATAATTCAGTTTATTTTGCTTTGAAACGAAATTTTAAAATTAAATCTAATTAACGTATGTCGTCGTTGACATTAAATTTTGTTTCGGAATAAACAGTACAGATAATAAGTAAATGAAGACAAAAAACATTTTTTGCAGTCAGCGCAATTTTTTGTGAAACAAATAATTTTTAGTCTTGTCTATTTGTGTTGTGAATATCGCTGTTTTTCTGACACCACATTCGTGTCAAACTTTTACACAAATAAAGGCATCTAATGGAAAGTCAATCATTTGTTGTCACCCCCGTGGACTGAGATGGAATACCACGATTCCAGCAAAAGACAGTCTGGCATTTACCACTTACAACATAGCAGCTCTATGCTTATGCTATTATGAGCTGATATTCTAAAATAGAGGTATATACACTGTCGAGTCGAGGCAAAATTATCTCTCAGCCATCAACCGATATTATCATAAAGGCGTTACATCTAATTCCCGTGTGGTTGGGCTAACGCACTAACGCTAAAGCACTAGAATAAATCCAGTGAAGTCGATACTTTCAAACATTTTGGCTAGGAGAAAACATAGTTAAACGTCGTAGTCGGTTTGAAAGAGATTACAATTTTTATTGCTATATTTCTTTAATTAAAAAAGCAGTTTGATTCATCAAATTCATTGTTTTAAATATCTACAAGTTATTTATTTCTAGGCAGACTATTACTATACCCGTTGAGCTTCAGTAGCTTGGTTTAATAGTGGATGTGTGCAATGTGCATTAATATGCATTGACTGCAAACAAGGCAAGCTCGTAGGTCGTGGTCCAACTGGCAAACACAATTGTTGTCTCTGTTGTGCTTGCTTATGTATATATTTTAACACAAAATTGCACTTTTCGTTTAGTGTACAACAATTTAGTGAAAAATCCTATAAGTAATCATATTTACTCTAGCTAAATATTACAATTTTATCGATATAAAATTTTATTAAATATTATATTCGGTTACATATTATTAGAGTAATTTTATATGTGGAGTGTATACTTTAAAGATAAATCCTGCATAATCCTTATTAAGCAAAATCGTATTGTCAGTTAATAAATAATCTAATGGACAAATACATAAATGCTACTCAATTTTAAGATGTTAAGTATCCTGGTGTCACAGTCACTTTGACTTTAAGTGATAGACATCACGAGACGTAACCACGTGAGTAAAGAAACTGTACAGAGGCAAAGCTTTTAAGGAGCTGTCAAAATTTTTACCTATTTTGGTAGGGTTGGCACAGGAGGATAAAACTAAATAAACAAAACGTTTATCAATATTTTAATAGATACTTACTTAGATACTAATACTTAAGATATAATATTTTTTTTTATAAACTACATATTTTAAATGTTTTACTTTTATAATTATTTTTCTTAAACAATTAGTTGTAGCTTTTAATTAATTAGTAAATTCTAAATTTAATATAAAGTTTTTTTTAAATAACTTATTGGAAATCACTATTATTTCATAACAAATACAAAATCTTGCACGCGTTTTAATATGTCACTATCAATATTTACAATGTTTTTTTTATAGGATAGGGTGACAAACGAGCACACAGTCCACCTGATGGTAAGTGGTTGCTGTGGCCCA